TTTTCAAGATTATTTTAAGACGCTCCGTTTTAATGTTACGTGCCCTGTGGCTGTAAGCTCATTTTAAAATAGTTTTGAAAAAAATCTTAAAATAGTCTTAAAAAAATCTTAAAATAGTCTTAAAAAATTATTAAAAAATTTTCAGGCTATTTTAAAATGATATCACAGCAACAGTTCCGGAAAGTTATTATAGAGCGCCTTTAAATAGTCTCAAAATGATTTGAAAAAAATTTTTAGACTTTTTTAAGATGAGCTCACACCGGCAGAGCTCTGAAAAATTAGTATAGAGCCTCCTTAAACAGTCTTAAAATAGTCTTAGAAAAATCTCAAAAAAGTCTCCACAAAATCTTAAAATATTTTAAAAAAAATCATTAAAAAATTTTCAGGATATTTTAAGATATTACAGCAGCTCCGGAAAATTATTATAAAGCTCCTTTAAATGGTCTCAAAATGGTCTTAAAAAAATTTTTAGAGACTATTTTGGAATGAGCTCACAGCGACAGAGCTCTAAAAACTTATCTTTAAACAATCTCAAAAAAATCTTGAAATAGTCTTGAAAAAATCTTAAAATAGTCGTAAAAAAATCATTAAAAAATTTTCACTTATGGAAAATTATTATAGGACGTCTTAAAAAGGTCTCAAAATGATCTTAAAAAAGTCATAAAATTGTCCAATAAAAATTTTTCAACAATTTAAGAAGAGCGACCTCAAAAATGTTGCGGTTAGAAAGTCGTAAAATCGTCTAAAAAATGTCTAAAACTTAATTTTCATAACAAATTCGAGAGCCAAATTTCTAAAAATTTGCTCGCGAAATTTTTTTTTGGTGTCTTAAAAGGATCTTAAAATAGTCTTGGCTTGTGTCACGTTTAAGATCTTAAACGAACGATAATTTTAAGACAATTTTAAGACGATTTTTTTTTACACGGGAAAGAGAGTAGCCTTTTTTTTTCAAAAATTATTTGAAATAGGAAACCAATCAAAATAACACAAATTGGTAATTAAGAAATGTTACTTGCCTGTAACATCGGAACTAATTGACCGATTCTGCTCGTTTGCGAATTTGATTGAGGTGATCACTTAAAGAATAATTGTATCAAGTTACACATCACGATCTTTAGTGGATTGCCATCTAAATTATGTGATAACATGACGGGATCTAATCCACATATCTACATATATATGTTCAGCGAAACATAAATTAGAGAAAATTTCCTTAATGACAGAATATTTCATTATTTTGAAGCAAGAATTGAACCAACACGATTCAATTGGTACTAAAAGTTAGTCAAAGTTAGTCAATGTTCACGTATTTAAGGAATCATTATATGGTTCCGGCGTTCGAAAAAAATCCAATATTCATTCTTTTTTTTTTACCCAGAAACTATTATCATTATTGGTATAAAATTTATTCGACTCAACACATACACTCTTGAATAACACAAAAGTATCTAACTTTATTTTTTTTTATGCTTTTTACATGAATAAACAACGGGCCAACGGAGCTCCTCTAAAAGTTGGTATGTCGCTGACGTACATGATAACTTGATAACAGTTTGACTAGAACACAAAAACCAAAATTATTTATTTTCACTATATAAGTAGCTATGGCATGATCTACGAAGATTATTATTTATTTATAAATAACTATATGGCTGAGATTAAAAAAAAAAAAAAAAAAAAAAAAAAAAAAAAAAAACTGAAAAATGAGCATTTTTATCACAGTTTTCAGTCCTAAAAAAATAGTAAAAATCAAAACTTTGATTTGGTTGTAACTCGTGCGATAGCTACTACTATGTAGAATATGCGGTTTAAATGTCATTAAGGTGGGGTCAGTAGTTTCGAAGATATCATGTACGTAAACATGAAAAACATAGTTCTTAGATAAGCGTGTTTAAAGTTTTTTTAATAAAATCTTACCTAGAGTCAATCAGCGATGCCGGCACCATACAAAATCTCTTCCGCCTGTTTAAAAATTTGATTTTCTTTCACTCGAAAATCGCCATGAACTTTGTAAAATAATATAATTATATTGGTCCGATCACTTAAAAATTTTAATATAATATACTTGTAGATACATGTACTTTCAACAAATGTAATAAAGAAAAATAATTTTTTCAAAAATTACAAACAAGAATGATCACTTAAGAGAATTTTCACTATTTCATGTTTCAAGAGTACACGGAGAAAATTTTATAGTAGAGTTTATCATCTAGTTATCTTAAAATCTATTAACTGAATTCGATAGTAGTAAATATTATTTAAATAATTAAGTAAACCATCTGAATTGTAGTATTTACCATCCTGATGGTAACTACTACTATTGTGATGGTAATCAGTAATAATAACTGTTATTATTTTAATTAGTTACTACTATTATCAAAATCGTAATTCCTAATATAACCTGATGGCTGTAGTTACCATCAGTTATAATAATAACTGCTATCTAAGCTAGTAAAAAATATTTAAAAAATTAAGAATCTGCGTTACCGTAGATGCATATCTGAATAAACTAAAAACAGCTGTAGTGCACAAAAAATTGGGATTAAATTTGAATTAAAATTTTTATTTGTCTAAAACAAGTTTCAACGTCAAATTTTTGAAAAAAAATTTGAAATTTCCAAAAAAATCAAAATTTTCAATAAAATTATATTTTAATATTTCAAAGAAAAAAATGTACATTAGCTAAAATATGGATCTAAATAAAGGATTTAATTAAGTAAATTTATATTATTTTTTCTTTCAGAATTTTTACAATCTAAGATGGTTACAGTTAACATCTTCGATTGTAACAGTTATAATTTATAATAATTACAATTACTATTTTTGATAGTAATTGTTACCATTATTAATAGTAACTATTAAAATTGTCAATGATACCCCCTATTATTTTGTTACTAATTAATTTTATTACCATTTTAGATAGTAGGGAGTTACTATTTTTGTATAGTAGGTAGTATAATTAATTTTTCTCCGTGTACATACAAATACATAACCTTTTGAACTAATGTTATTTTTTGAATATGCTCTACGATGAAAGAGATATTATAAAGTGCATGAAGACAAATGCAATAGTTAGATTTCTATGAAATCTACTAAAGAACCAGTCATTTTTCAAAGCTTTCTCTTAAGACAGTTTTTAAATTAAAGCAGAACATCGATTCAAGCCATGTTGACAAAGATCAGAAAATTCATCAAATATAAAAATTTTACATATTGCCCAAAAATTATTTGAAAAAAAAAAATTTAATTTTTTAATGCGTTCGTCAAAGATAATTACCGAAAAAATCTACCGATCCGATTTTGCAAAGTCAAAGTTGACTTAACCGTAACAAGATAAAATCTATAATCAGATAAGCTAGTTCGAATGTTATAATCTTGATCTCAGTAAGTTCAAAAACTATTCTAGATACAGAAGCATACGTAAAAATTTTTTAAAATGACTATTTTTCTTAATGTGGAGTTACAAACTTATCTTTATCATTATCATAAATGAAATATTTAGTAAAAAATTTAATTATTTAATAATAATAATATTAATTTTTGTCAAATTAAAATAAAAATAATTTAATTTCACATTCTAATGGGAAATATAATTAAATTCAATCATAATAACATTCATTCATTTGATCTGGATTCTTTGTACGTTTACATTTCAAAGATGACGTTCATTATTCAAAACCAATTTATTATAATGCAACTACATTGCTGTAACTTAATAACGCAGAAATAATAATCTCTCATTAAAAAATGGATAAATTACTTGTATGAAAGTTTTAGTAACAATTGAGTTTATCAAAGGACGATAATAAATGATACACTTGAGAAAATCGACTATTGTGATGTCTGATGTGTATTGGTGTCTTGCATATTCCACCACTACATTTATATAAAGATATATGTATATAAACGATAACTGTAGCATAAAGCTGCGCGTATAATAAAGCGCAGAAACCGACACCAATGAGTATATCCTGGTATGCTGGTTCTATTTGGAATTGTGTTGTTGATATAATCCACTGACACTGTATTGTTGTCAAGACATCAAGTCTTTGTCAGTAAAATCAATTATGAACATAAATGGTTAATTTGCTAAGATGGCTAATAATAGCCGCTAAAAATTAATTATATCATAGAATACCCAATGAACAGAGCTTTATATACCTTTTAATTATAATTATTATTATACACATTTATTTTTTTATCTATAAATTTATTGTGATTGGAATTTAGGGTTTAACGTCTCTTCGACAAATAAAATTTATCAGTCAGGAAGATTACGCGATTTATGATATACGTTTTTACTACTATACTGATTGAGAGCACCAGAGTGCAAATACTCTGAACGAACTGACGAGAAGCACTATCACTATCAAAAGAATCGATACCTTGGGTCAGAGCTCAAGTCCTGATAATCCCGCGAAATAGAAGTCGCTGTATAAAGGGTAAAAAAGGGAGATAAAAATAAAGCAAATAAAAGGCACCGGTACCTGGAATCCTGGAAAAGTTAACTTGAAAAGTCGCACCGATCTTTTATATATACTCTTTAATACTTTCCTTACATAAAAAGATCTTTGACATTACTTTCGATGATGCTTTGAACAATATTAATAGAGGATTTAAGAAACGAAAAACTATGATAAATTTATTAAATTTTTTTTCGTAATAAAAAAGTTATTTCTCAATTTTATTATTTCAACGTCCTTGAGAATTTTTCATTTAAAAATATATATCGTACATAATATATTAAATATTAAATATGAATGAACTTTTTAATTCTTTTCAGGACATAAAATCTATTGAAGAAGATTAAAGCTCTTGTCTAATATTCGCTATTTTCTCGCCTCAATCGTCTACTCGTAAACTTAAAACGATTATCGCTGACGTGAAAGTACAGAGAGTAGAAAAAAAAAGAGAGACGGAGAATGCTGCGAATGAAATAAAGAATATATTTTGTTTATGTCTCATATATACGTACATTAAGGCATAAAAGATAAAAGAGGATGAAAAAGGTAAGCGAAGACGAGTCGACATTTGAAGATTGTCTCGAGGTAGTTGAGAAAAGTCTGAGATCTGAGGACGGATTATAAAAGCTTTTCTACACCTGTATCACCTGTCAAGCAACTGAGCCTGCCACAAACGTCTCGTATTTCGAGATAGTACCACACAGTTGAACGTGACTTGCATCCAAGTACGTATAATGACATTATAATTCAATATATATTCGTTATATGCTTGACTTGCATTAACATAGTTAAAAAAAAATTGGTAAAAGCTTATATAAAAATTAAAAAAAATAGATGTTTATTGTTATTGATTATTTACTTAATTTTTATATCATTTCACGATATTTTTGCTTGATAAATTGAGCATCAGCAGACATTAAAATAGAAATGTAAATATTAAAAACTTCAAATTATTCGAGAGAAATCGAATCGAATCAGTCGATTTAAATTCCCCAAACAATTTATCATCAGAGAAAAATTCCTTACAGACTAAGGCTGTGAAACTGTTGAAAATCGGGATACCAGGTCGCAGAAATTTCGCCCACAGGTTATTTTCGGGGTATTTCTGATTCCGGATAAATTTTTCTAATATATGAGGCGTTCGAAAAGTATTATATATATACCCGTGTAAAAAAAAATCGTCTTAAAATTGTCGTTCGTTTAAGATCTTAAACTTGACACAAACTAAGACTATTTTAAGACTCTTTTAAGATGACAAAAAAAAAAAATTCTGAGATTTTTTAATAATTATTTTGATTTTTTTAAGACTATTTTGAGATTTTTTCAAGAAGATTTTAAGATTTTTTTAAGACTATTTTAAGATTTAAGTTTTAAAATAATTTTTAAATAGTCTTGAAAAATTTTTAAAAAATATTAAAAAATTTTTAGGCTATTTTCAGATGATATCATAGTGACAGCTCCGGAAAATTATTATGGAACGTCTTTAAATTATCTTAAAATTATCGTAAATTAGTCTTAAAAAAATCTTAAAAAAAAATTTAGACTATTTTAAGATGGGCTAACAGCGACAGAGCTCCGGAACATTAAAACGGAACGTCTTAAAAAAGTCTTAAAATTGTCAGATAATAATTTTTTAACAATTTTAAATTCAATTTAAAAACATCTTACTCAAAAATATTGCGGTTAGAAAGTCGTAAAATAGTCTAAAAATTAATTTTCACAAAAAATTCGAGAACAAAATTTTCAAAAATCTGCTCTCGGAATTTTTCTTTTGGCGTCTTAAAAGAGTCTTAAAATAGTCTTAGTTTGTGTCACGTTTAAGATCTTAAACGAACTACAATTTTAAGACAATTTTAAGACGATTTTTTTTTACACGGGTACTGCTCACAGCGATACGAGAAGTGTGCGATTATTCAATATTTCGAACCGTCCAAGACGAATTGAATGTAATAATAACTTGATTTAAAATCCGATTAGTTAGAACTATTCAGACCTTTTGAATAATTTAATATTTGACTCCAATTCTATTATATGATTCAATTCAATTCGAACAAGATTCGCATACCTTTAAATTACAATGCATATATGTCAGGAAGAAATTTGCCGATTTGTATTTAGATGTACAGAAGATTGATAAAATATATTTTTCTCTTTATCACTTATAATTAAATAGCATCAAGATAAATAGCTATTTTAGATACCTAGTCCTTTTATGGGTAACATTAATTTATTGAAAAAAAAAAAATGACTTAAATAATGGATTTTTTGTCAAGTTATTGTATTTGGAAACTATTCTTGAAGATTGCTTGACAGAAAAATTTTCTTGGTTTATTTTGAAGTTTTTTCTTTGTTTCTATCACACTGAATTAATTATTTAAAATTATATCATTAATAAAGATTAATCTTAATCCTAATTAACTATGTGAATCAACAAAAGTCTAACAATGAAAATAATTGAGGAGAGAAGGCAAAGAAAATTTCTTTGCATCATAGAAAATTCGTTAATGCTTTGAATTATGAATCGTGCAAAGTATAATTTAATTTAATTATAACTGAAGTTATTTTAATCATGCAGGGATGCTACGCAGAAAAGACGGGAGTTGGTCGTGATGTCTTGCTACAATTGCTGTGGTTGTTGCTACGAGGAAGAAGACGATCACAGAATTGAGCAATCAGGAATTTCAAGTGGTTACAGTCGTGCAAGTAGTACTTACAATCACAGTGATAACAGTTCAAACAGTGATAACAGTCTTAGAATTGCATCAGGTATCTCAGCCTTCTTATCTCTTATCATCGTATCTGTAGCCATTGGTACGGGCGAGTGGCTTTTCACAGAGGAAAAGCTACCGAAAGCTTTCTCGTCGAACGCTTCTGTCGAACCGGATTCTAAGGTGACTTACAGTGGCCTCTGGAGAGTCTGCGTAGCTACAAGTGAGTTATCCTCTAGCAAGCTTGCTCCCCATGGTGCATTTATCCAGCCGAATAAAAGCCGCCCCTATTAAAGCTTCAATAGCATTATTTTCTTTTTTTTCCTCTTTAATCCTTTTGTTTTTGAAAAACCTAGTTGCTGCCCACTGGAAAATAAGTCAAAGTGATTAATCAAATTTAACAAAAGACGGTTCTGTGTTCAGTCGTTAAATTATTAAATAATTATTAAAAATTAAACGGAAAAAAATTACAGTAAAAATTACGATGGAAAATATTGAAGTATAGGGCAATACTTTTGGCATTGTTTATGTTACATTTTTACGATGCCTGCTCCCTAAAACTGAATTAGTGAAAATTCGTCAAATAAGTGAATATTCACTTAACTTAAGTGCCAATCGAGCCACTTTTTCAAATCAGTGGCTCGGTTCTCACTTAAATAAGTGAATATTCACTTATTCATGTTTAGAGAGTGTATCGTCATTTTTACAATAAATCTATATTGAACATCGTTTCAAAAATAACGATCTTCAATAGGAAACTTTTCACTACAGAAACAAGAGAATATTATAAAAGTCATAAATCATGGATACGATTGAAAATAAGACTCTATAGATATAAAATGCATATTGTGTAATTTATTCGTATATTCGCGGAAAAATATTTTAGCATTGAAATTTTATGAAACTTTATGCAAAAAATGGCTTAATAAAATTTTATAAAATTTTACAAAGTTTCATAAATGTAGCGTTGCATAGGTAAATTTAATAAATAATTTAAATGAGACTATGATTTTACATTTGACTCTTGCAGGATCAATATTAGTACTATTCTAAATTCGTAAAGCTATATTGATTAAAAACTTTCAATATGTCCTCTGTTGAATAATATAAAGATTTATAATGCCGAATTAAGTAAGTAGATAATCAAAAGAGTTATTTATTGAAATAAATACATTTTCTTTGAAGCTTAATGGAAGATAAATTTGATTGTTTTATCAGCCAAGTCATGATATTTTATAGTCCACTCAAAAATTCGGTTTATCTTTATTTTAATGAAGAGTTTGATTATCATACAATATTAATTTATATAATATAATAGTATTATAGTATTGATAAGCATATCAGTAAAGAAGTGAACTATATATACTAATAGTTTGCTGACATCGTAATTTTTTCTAAAACGCACACACATTGAACTTACAATACATAAAAAAAAATTACGATTTTTTTCTCTATAATCTTCAATAACAAAACAATTAATATCGTGATTTTCTTTTTGAATAAAACTTTTGATGAATTGATGGAAAACTTTTCCAATAAATTTAAAAGAAAATCAATATCTGAAATTGAACACTTGGTAAATGTTATATTTGTTAAGTGTTAGTGCTTGAGGAACCCTCGGTAGTAATGCAAAGATATGAGAGAGGGAGTGGAGGAAAAGGAGGAAGAGAAGAAGGTCAAACAGAAAGGGATGTCAGGAGAAATGAGGAAATGACTCGTTACTTGGCGTACCGGAAACCACCCTTCTTCTCTTTCCGTTCTGACTGTTCCCTAGTCTACGAGAGGAAACGTACCTCAGTGGAGATAAAAAAAAAAGAAAAAAAAATAAAGATAGAAATAGACAAAAGTACATACCTCAGACCACTCGGGAGTTAGAGGGAAATCACGAATTAAAAAATTCTCGTAGTCATGGGTAATTCCATTTGGAGTTTCTAATCGAAAAAATTCAACTTCTGTACCATGAATACTCTAAAATATTTATTTGCACTTTATTCAAGTGTACATTTGCTCGTTGGTAACCATCTCATGCAGTCAATTGAATTTTCATTTTATTTTTATCAACGTTTTATTCAATACTGAATTATAACGACTTTAGACCTGAATTTAAATTTTCGCTTCACTTTTATTATCAACAGTAAATCTTATTTGATGTCAACCGTTAGATATGGATGATATTTGTATTCCGAGCCAATATTAATACTTTTCAGAATATCTTTATAAATGTACATATCGATGTAAAAAAAAGTCTCTGGGTCAAACGTCTTTGCCCATATGCATACAAAATGATAACGTAGTACTATAAGGTAGCATTCGATTCCCGATTCAATAGTAGTATTTTTGTTTTGTTTTTTCTTACTTTTTTTTTAAATATATATGTGTTTTCTAGCAAAAAATAAGACATGGTTGTTTATATTTCGAGACAAAAAAATTTTTTTTTCAAGACTGTTAAAACAATATTCTCTACTACTTATAATTCATAAATATAAGCACCTGAAAATATTTTTTATGAAATAAATAACTATAAAAAAAAAAAAATTATGAAATAATTTTATTTATTAAAAAAAAAAAGTCTCGCAAAATTTTGATTTTCTTATGCTGTTAGATATTTATTAAAATAAAAATTCGAAACTTTCACAATCAACAAGCTTGCATTCGCAACTTTAAATCTTTTGGGAATCTCAGTAGATTGCCTGATTAAGAAAAGGGATTTAAAATGATTCAAAACAATTCGAAAGCATTTGATTTTAATACTATTTAGATATATATTTTGCATTAATTTAAGATAATATTTCCAAATCTCTTCTCTTAATCAGGGATATACTTAGATATATGAAAATTTACAAAATTTTACAGGTTTAAGGATTGTGAGATCTACGTAGATCATTTTATATCTAAGTAGATATACAGGCATGTACATCAACATTTGACCCGCCATTTTTTTCATCTATATTAACCTACGTAACGAAACTTAGTGACTGGAGGCGTGGGTTTGAATTCTGGCATTTGCTCGTATCGACTATTGAATTGAACCTGGTTTAAAAAAAAAATAAAAAATTATGTAAACATTGAAAATAATGATATGATACTGTTCATTATAAAATTTCGGATACGTTAATACAAACTTCAGTCCTTAGGTCACGGAAGTGAAATAAGATTTTGGAATGAGAGGTTTTGCTGCAATATGCATTGCCTATTCAATATTTCTTACTACAAAATCTTTTGATTTGTGATTTTCATATAAATCTATAATGATCTCAACTATTTTTATTTTTTATTTCTACGCTCAAAGAGGTTCGTTTTCTCTCGTAATCTAGATACAGGCGGAACACCAATGTTCCGGTTCGGAAATGAGTATCTAGCTCTAAAAGGATCTTCCTTTTGCCAATCTCATATTATTAAATTTGAAAATTTTGTAAATGCAAACGAGATATTTTCTATGATCACAATCATTTTTTTTAAATCGTTATCGTTTTATCCAATAATAGACGTTTTTTTATTTTCATTAAAACTCAATCGGACATTTAAAATATTTTATGTTATGTTATTTTCACTATTTTTTTTTAACAACTATTTTGTATTGAATTTTAGAACTATTCGTTCCTGGCATGACTTTTTTTGAAATATTGCATTTTCCACCAATGAAAAAAGTTCAAGCACTGGTTTAAATTAATTGAAATAGAAAAGCTCAATTTCATTGTTTAATAATAAATAGAAAAGCTTCAATACCAAACACGGAAAAAAAATATGAAAAACGGTTGACCAGCAGGCCATCCCTGGAACTTACCGCTTTTTTCGAGCTTGAAACGCTCGAAAATGTCCCTATTGGTTGATTTTTGAGCTCTCCGAGCTCAAAAATTCAAAAGTTATATCAAACAAACAATTATTTAGAAATTTTTAAATGGCAATAATTTTCGAAAGCGTCATTCGATTTTGACTTACTTGGCGCCATTCGACGCAATTTATAAGTTAAAAAAGTGTCTCTGAATACTGGAGTTAATTAATCAAATATTTTGAAAGTTATTTCAAAAAAACTTTTTTTCTATTTTTATTTTTTGAATATCTTTGAGACGGCTTTACTGATTGACTTTAAAATCTTATCAGCTCGAAGACTCGTCAATGACCATTTCCAAAACGCCGTATCCTTCATCTTAATCGGTTGATTCGTTCTCAAAATATCGCACGACATAATTTTATTTACATGCATACACACACACACACGGCCGGACGTTCAGCTGGAGATAGTCACAACGGCTTCCTAGGACCACAAAATGTCGGAGAAAACTCTGTAGAGAAATCTAATGAAACTCGCATTCTCAAAATTGGACCGAAATCTATAACTTCCTACTTTTCAAAATTATTAATTTTTAAAGCGGGAAGTTAAAAATAGGGGCTGGAACATGATACATTCCTGTGGTAGCAACATGAAAAAATCATGTTACAGCACCATGACTTTCGCGTTGCAGTAACAGGACAATCTTGTGGTAGCAACATGAAATAAAAAACGTGTAAAAATCATGTGGCAGCGTATGTAAATATAAAAACTACAAGCTCTAAAGTATAAATACATTCACATTTTCTGGACGCAACGGGAAATAGTGTAGATTCCTATTCACCGCTTTGCGACGAGTCGAATCAACAGTATGATAACGTGAAAAATCCTCTTCTCTTTTATTCATTTGATTTTTATTTTTTCCTTCCTATAACGAACTTTTATTTCTTATCATTACTTAATACAAATTACTTTATAATTTTTTTGAGATAGGTTTATCGTCGCTGTTTGCAATTTAAAATACGCTATTGTAAATAATTGTTTTAACTAGGATCAGTATTTTTATTTACATTTCTAGAAAATAAATATTCTATGCAAGATATGGGATAAACTTCAATAAAAAAAAAAAAAAAAATAATAATTCTTTATAATCAACATTGAAATTTTTGATAATAAAACTTAAACTAAAAAAAAAAAAAAATATACTTGCATTGAATCTAGATAAAAAATTCTTAAATCAATTGATTTATAAGTAAAATTTACTCAAACGAAGAATAATTTTTTAGTTTCAGAATTTTATCTCTTGAAGATATTTTTTTTTTTTTTTTTTCAGAGTGAACATTTATAATAAAATACATCAAATAGTCTAATAATTTTTTTTCTTAACTTTTTTTTCATTATCATATTATATATAAATATATAAATATTTTAAAGTGTAGACGGAAGGAAAATATCGCTCAAGTTTTTTTTTACAATTTAACAGTTTTATGAAGTCTGTCTACTTTATTGCTATGACGTTCGTGTAAACTTTGCACCTCCATCTGCTGAAACTTTAATTTCTTCGCGTTCCACTATATACTTTTTTATCTGTACGTATATCTATATAGAGGAATACTAGCTGATGAAAGAAAAAAAAATCCGTAATATCTATTTTTGTTGAGCACAACTTTATCCCATTTAAACCTGTCAAACTTTAATTATTAATCCATTCTGTTAAACAGCTTTTCAAAGAAAATTAAAACAAGAAAAGTTCAATTACCAGTAATGAATAACTTAAAATTTTTGTTCATTACACTCCATTATTTTTATAATACATTTTTCGGCTGTTATATACCAATATCAAAGTTCGAGTAAAATTTTTGTTATAAATTCTATCCGGCTGGAGATAAATCTTTTTATTTATCTGCTAATGCACGTAAATAAATATATAGAGGTAATATTTTAAAAAATGTAGATAAAAGAGTAACTCACTTTTTGGTACCTGAAATTTTTTTCCCTCCATCCATTTCGTATATTTTATTTTCCAATAATAACTATAAAAGTTTTATGGTGCTATTAAACATTTTTTAGCGTCACATATACATTACGAGTGTTCAAGTATTGACTACTTTCCAAACGAAGAGTATAGTCCAGATCCCAGCGATTCAACTATGGCCATACCATGTAAGTCTATTTGTAACCAGCACAACCCTCGCCAGGCATCGATTTTATATTTTTTAATGTAGTTCTGCTATTATATGTGACACTTCAGATTTTATGTTTGAAATTTGCTAAAAAAATTTTTAAATTGATTGAAATTGCAAGCCAACCCAAAAGCTTGGACATATAATAATTTGAAACATTTTAAGCAATAATATGAAGAATTATCGCCCTATCAATCAAACGGAAAAATCCTAGTTATAACAATAACTAAAATGTGTCTATTAAAAATTGATCACTATAAATGACATTAATTAGTCTTCAAAAATTTTTATAATATCTGTAATTATATAAATTTTTATTGCCTCACAGGCTTATTAAATTGAAAAACAAAAAAAAACAGTAATTAGTTGAGTATAGAGTTCACAATATTTCTACATAAAAATGACATTTAAAATTTTTTTCGAATAACTACATATTTTTTTCTTAGTTTATTATAGATAAAATTATTAAAAAAAGAATTTTTTTTATTGAAAACTGATATCTTTGAAAATTATTTGAATGCGAAAAAATTCTAAAAATCACTAGATTTATATAAGCATACTCTATTACCGATTTTCGGTCAACATTAAATTTTTGTTAAGGTGAAAAACTTTAAAATTAGTTAGAAAATTGGTTTTTTTTATCATTTCAATAAATGTGCTGTGAAATAAACATTTTTTTTAATGTGTATTTTTTCATGTTTAATTTTCGAAAATAGGATGAACTCAATTGAAAGCAATCACTAAAAAAAAAAAAAAATAAAAAATAAAAAATTTAGAACTTCAATATTATACTTGTATATGAAATTCTTTTTTTCATCTCGTCGCGACTTGAGTTTATAAATGAAGGTAGTACATGCAACAAAGAAAAATAAATACCTGCATGATAAACCTGTATAAACTCGATCGAATTTTTTTAACATCAAATTTTCAGAACATTTAAGCTCAGTATAATTCTTTAAGAGCCATGTAAAATTAAGCATTAATTTATCTCTAAATTTAAAATATAAAATTAAACTTGCATTTATGTTGCGAAGAAAGTTCTTGAAAGTTAAAGTTGAAGATAATTTTAATGAAGAAATTTTTAAAATATGGATATTTGATATTTAATATGTTAATATCTTTGTTTTTTTTATTAAATTCGATATTCCTTTAAAAATTTATAGTCAAGATTATTTTCTATTATTTGATAATATTTCAGACGCTGTCACAAAGTCCGCAATGTTCTTCTTTATAGCAACATTGCTACTGGTAGTTGCCGAAGTTTGCTACTTTGCTGCCCACGTATCCCGTCCGAGGCACCAGCTGTGTGTTTTCGTAGCCGGCGTGATCTTCACCATTTGCGGTAAGTTTAGCATGTTTTGCCCAATACATAGAATATCTGGGAATACTGAATAGAACCCAGTAAATTGATCTCCTGGGAATGGTTCTATCATTCTAACATCAACAATACTCGCATATATATTCGGTTCATGTTTATGGTATTGTTAAACAAACTCATGTAGAGAGAGTCAAACACAATAATTGTTTTCCCTCGGGCATTTTTCATTTCTTTTGAAATATATTGCGAACATTTTATTTATTTTAAAAATATTAACAATTTAGCTTTTACTATCGCAATGTTTCTTTTTGGGCTTTAATACACAATTTGATTTTAAATTTTATTCAATTCCAATTAACAATAAACTCTGATTGCACAGGCTTGCTGATGCTCGTCGGAATGATCATGTACATATCTGTGTTTAAAGCGGAGGTTGGAAGTAAATTAAGACCCAGATCATCTTTTCAGGTTAGTTAAATACTTAATAATTGAACCTCATTAACTTTTTAGCTTGGAATCCTCATTTAGTAGAAATAATTAAGAAAATTACTTTTTAATTCCTCCAAGGATATAAACACTGACGATTTTACTTTATTCTTTTTTTTTTTTTGAGCTAAACTAATACTTCGTTTGTTAAATATTTTCAGCTTTTCAATCTCGTTTTTTCTTATCTCTAAGTTATAGCAAAGTTACTAATCACTGGTCTAAAAAAAATTCCATCCTATCTCATCCGAAATTATTAAAAAGTTTGATAAATCCAAAAATGTACATACCTTAATCAAACGCTCATATTTTTAATTTTTCTAAAATTTTATGTTCAAACTATAAAAACAAATTGAAAAGATTATTATAATAATGAGTTAATTGAAAATTTATCGATTTACTTCGTTCAAATTTTTCCGCACATAATATTTATTTTTATACGAATTCCTTTTTGTGATTTAAGTAAATCATCAGAAAAAACAATAGAAGACTATATTACCGGCGGTGACCAGGTGACGTCACAATTGATTATAGTATCATCTCTCTTGAAGCTCTATTTAGAAATAAATGATCACATATCGCTGCTTAAAAGACCGAAAATTTCGGGATCTCCCAGCCGAAAAAAAATTAATTATAACTAAATAAAACAACATTAAGTGACCATTTACATTCCGTAGCTTCCTATATGATAGATGAGGAAATTAAAAAATAAATTGACCTGAAAAATTGATATTTTGAAAAGTTATCGTGTTTACCTCTTCATAAGGACGTGAAAAATCCACACTACACCACAAACCATTAAAATCAATTTATGATTTAAGAATAGCAATTAATTGATTTGAAGAAAATTTCAATAAGTTTAACAATTATTTTTCTTTTTGACCGTGTGTTTCTTATGTCAACTTCAATGTATAATATCATTGTCAGATACTATTTAAAATGATAAAACGTTGAAATCTTGATTTGTAGGCATTAGCAGAACATACCTACGCGCTTCGCAAAAGCATGCAAAAATTGGTTTTTATATTTTTTCAGCGATAGTCATTTATGATGAAAATGATTAAGAAAGTAAGGAAAATTTTGCAACCAGCCTATTGTTACTTCGAAAGGAATTTTTGCAGTTAAATTTAGTATCATCACACGGAAAAAAGGCGCTGCAACAGGATTTTGTCATGTTGCCCCGATAAGATCAGTTCTGTCGCTGCACCAAAAAAATCCTGTTGCTCACACAGGCAGAAAGTTCTTGATAAAAACTTGTGCTTTTTCACCGTTTTATATATATTTTTAGTAGTCAATTCTTTTAAGGTTTTGGAGCAGTTTTGAGTAGTTCATTTCTTTCTTCGTATTAACACTTCTTAAAGTAATTAGTAGAAATAAAAATCCGCTACCACGTGATTTATCTGATTCACTTTATTGCGATGCCTTTGAGAATTCCTTTGATTTTAATAGTATTATAATTATAATTATCGTTACAAAAATTAAAAAAAATAAAATTTTCAAACTGCCAAATCATGATCTAATCCTTATAAAATGGCGATACCTCCTAAAACATTGAATGTAGAAAAAAATTACAGCGACGAAAATTGTAGTTTAGGAAATTTCCTACAGAAAATATTTTTATTTGATGGGGCTAACTTCAATACTTTAGGAGATTTTAAAATTTAATGTGTCAACAAATACGCAATAACGAATCCTTATTTGATCGCTATTAAAATTTCCATAACTCCTAAATTAACCATTTTATGAAAGAATCATAAAAACAAAAGTTGTAGCTTAGAAAATTTCCTATACAAAATGTAATTACGCTATAGGTCTATCTTAAATATTTTAGGAGATATAGTCATTTAAGTAGAGTTAACAAGTCGCCAAATAAAAAATCACAATCCAGTCACCGTGAAAATGGCAATAATTACTCAAATATTGATTTTAGGAAAAAATTGTAAGAGACTAAAATTGTAGCTTGAGAAATTTCCTACAAAAATTTTTCGTATGTTATAGTTCTTTTTCGGCTATTTTAGGAAATATCGCAAAAGTATTGTTGACAATATGAAAAATCAAAAATGGAGAAATATTATGAATCTTGAAGGTAAAAAATAAAATTACTAAAAAATAAAAATTTTATTCAGAAATTTTCATGAATTTCTTACAATCATTGATTTCGTAAAATCAAGCAACAGTCACCTGTACTTTCTAGGACAGAATTCGTCGTTATCGTGGAAAAAGTAATACATATTACGTTGTTCAAGTTCTGATGGGTCGTGATTGTCCTGAAACATATCAACAAATGTAATTATAATTATCATTAATAAATGACGAATTTATCATTTAACGTTAAATTTGGGCAAAGGGGGGAAGAAAGAATATAAGGATTCGAGTGGGAGGACTTATCAGTGGGACGTTTTTTCGTTCAAAAACCGAAGAAACAGTTCGAAAAAAAAATCTGGGTTCGATTCCGATCCCCGAAATCGAACCTGAATTTGTAAAATCCGAGCCATTGAGCATCTTACGGCCTAGAGCCGTTTAATTTGATCTTATACTCACATGGAATAATCCTTTGTAGCAACTTATAGACAAAGGCTTCTTTTGATTCGTCCAAACAAATATTGTACAATATAACAAGGCATCAGGCCAATCAGTGTAATATTTAACAAGTATAGTGTATCTTCTTTCATTGTTTATAATTTGAACTCTCGCACAAAAAACAAGCAAATCGCTTCTACTTTTCGCCCCTCTGGTTCTTCCTTCAGAGACTAATTTGTTCCAGCCGTCGTTGGCAAATTTAATCACATCAGGGTCATTTTCATTTAATTGTAATTCGTATGAATATTTTTCTTCTTCGCAATTACAATTATTTGTAGAAGATGACAAAGACAGGCTTGCTGTCAAAATTATCGATATCAAAAATATTTTACACATTTTTATTTATTCATTTGTTGTCGGTGACTTTTAAATAGAATAACTGAAGCTCAATAAAATAAACCAATTAGTTAAATACCTTGTAAAGAGAAATTAATGGTAGTCAGTGTACGCAAAGAGTTTACGTCATTGACATGATCTTTTAGATAGTTCTAAATTCTATAAGTGATTCATTTGTCTTGAAGGCATTATTATTGAAATAATTAATAGAACAAATTCGATCCCACGTTATTTATCTTATCTTAACTTTATTATCATTTGATTTGTCACATCCTAAATAACAATATGACGTCTTTTACAGTTCTTTAAGAACTTTTATTAAAGATTTAAATGTCAGAATTTTGATCAAAATATAGTCTCTAACAAGTTTTGAAAACGTCGAATGCGCGACCTTAAAAGAAAATCAGGAGTTCTGAATGAGCTCTTTTTTCTGACTTAAATAGAATTTTTACCTAGAATCAATATCTTAGGTAAAAATTCTTAGTTATTGCTATTTATATAGTGATTTTTATAGTATAAAAACAATTTTCTAGGAAATTTTCTAAGCTACCATTTTGGTCTCTAATAATTTTTACTTAAAATCAATATTTTAGTAGTTATTGCCACATTTTATTTATCTGTAAAGTATAAATCATTATCATAAATGTGACATAAATAAATTAAACCCATGAAATTTATCTAATCAATGTCATTTTTATTGTGCGGGGTCTTCTTAGGTTTGTAATTTATTATTAGTATTCTTACCTTGAATTGAAAATAATTTAATATAAAATGAAGCTCAGTTACCAATTTTTTTTTATCAATGTACAAATTATTTCTTTGATCATATGTAAACATGTATAAAAAAAAAACTCAAAGACTTTTTTTGTGTTAATTAAATTATATTTTTAGGCAATAAACAAAAGTGTCTCAAAAATTAATACCTAGATTTTATTTATTTTTAATGAAAATAGAATAAATTACAAAAAATTTATCATGAGATTGTGATTCAAAGAATGCTTTTTAATTAACTATTATATATAATATCTTTTATAAATTTGAATAAAAATTCAACAACATATCTTCAAAGTTTTAATAACCATGTCGGAAAAGTAATAAAATAAAGTTGGATTATTTTTATCTACCATAAAAAAAGTAAAAAAAAAATTGAACTTTAAAAAACAAATACTTTTAAGAGTACCCTTAACTTCAGTAATTTAATTATTTTTAATATATATATTTATAGCAATAAAAAATTTTTAAAAGCTCTAAGTTTCTCTAAAATATATGTTTTTTACTCTTTATCAGAAATAATATTCGTGTAATAATATTAACAAAGAAAATAAATAAGAAAGTCAAAAGATGACATAGTGATTGATGCGGAACGGAGGAAGAAAGATTAAGTGCAGTCGGAATTGAGTTAGGTAACTGTGATGAGGGAATCGTTTGTTGTTTACTAGTTACAACTCGGTTCTTTTGGTTTATTTCATTTATCTGACTTTTTTTCAATCCACACAAAAGTTTTACCTTCAATTTTTAGGGTCCACCATTCACATACAGATATGGGTTCTCTTTTTTGTTGTACGTCAGTGGATTTATCACAACCGAAGTTGCTGGTACTTCCGCAATATTTCTCTACATATCTTGGCATCAGCGAGACTTTGGGAAACGAGAATTAAACCGAAAAAATTGCGAGGTATATACTTCATTTTTTTTATGTCTTTCTTCAATGTCTTCGTATTATATCCTATCATTTTATCTTTATTATTGTTAAATATTTTTCATACCCAACCATATATTCTTTTGTGATTATCTGTTACTTATAATATTCTTATTATTATAAATATTACAGTTATAAAAGAACTGACTTAATTCAAGAATTCAATTTTTTGATTTCAAAATTCTTGGATTAAAACATTCGTGCCTGCGATTGGTCTAGCTGCTCTCAGTCATGTGATTATAACTCCGAAAATTTTTGAAATTTTGATTTAAAATTGTATGCACGTATTTTTGAGTGTATAAACTTTGATTTTAAGCAAAAAAAAAATTAGTTTTTCGATTCGTCACAGTGGCTATCCCTCTTAAAGTACAACGTTAACAGCAAAAAACGTTCAACATGAATTACTTTTTTTTGGTACTCTAAAGCAATTTGAAATTTGAGGTGGTTTATTACCTTATTAAAATCTACCAATATGCCAAGTTTCATTTAATTCCAAACAATAATTCTCTAACCGACAATACTCTCTTAAATAGTAGCTTCTACGTTGGAAATTTTATTAGCTTCAGTCAAGAAGTACATATTCCAATTAATATTTATCTTCTTATTGATCATACAAAAACTTATAAAAATCCATCAATTTACAGTTTTAGCAGCATACTCATCAAAATGGTATTATCTTAATGTTAACTTGGTTTAAGAGCAGAAATATTGAATCAAGTTAACTTTTTTATCAGTGTATGTATTTTAGATGAAAATTTTTGACTAAAGATTCCAATACTCTTGATCCAAGAATGTTAGTTTATTGATTTAAAATTTAGCTTCTCAATTTATATAAGAGAATTATTTTGAAACAATAATAGATTTTTAAAATCTTTTTTTCTTAATTGAATAAATTTTCTAATGTTATTATTGTATCTTTTTCAGGACGTTTATCACTTGAGTAATCACGTTCATCAGCAAAACTTTCATCCCAGTCACTCTCATCAGACTCACAGCAGTTTCTTGTGTGAGAGACATCAAAAACGATACTACTTTAGCAAAGATTCTGTGGATCAAGCGGATTTCGATGAATTCCTTCCACCTCTTCCTAGTCTTGATTACCACGAGTACCCAAGACAATTTCCGCGCGACCTTACTACTCAGACGGTGAGAAATGATAATCTTACCAAACAGAATAGAATTATTTTTTTTACTCGTAATATTATTATTATTATTATCATTATCATTTTTCCTTTATTACACTATAATGTCATGAATATTCATAAATATAATGGTAATTTTTTAATTTAAAACTTCGTAGTCTCGTTAACTTAATTTAATTGTCTCAATTTTTCGTCTTTATTTTCTTTTTTTTTTTTAATACAGATTAGTACGACAGCTGATGTGCTTAATGATGAATGTGGATCAAACATGCAGCATGAATTTGTTACCTTTGACTTTGAAACACCTTTTCCACCGGTCCCACCAATCAAAGGGAGTAGTGAATGGCCACTCGAAGCATTTAGACGTACTACTCCAGTCTGATACAACGTCAGGTAAATTTAATAAAATTAAAAAATATACAAAATTTTAAATTGCATTTTCTCAGAAAGTTGAATTTTTGAGCGCTAAGTGGCGCCCAGTGCTTGGTCGGTAATAGTAACATTTACTTTACCGTTTATTTTATTGTACTAGGGTGAAAAGTAACTGTTTATATTACTATTTATAAGCATATGATTATAGCAAACATCCTTCGATTGATTAAAAATGTTTAAATAATTTATTTATCGCAAAAGTAGCAATAATAATAAAATGCACTTAGAAATTTCTAGTGATTCTTTTTGTGTAGTTTTTTTACAATAAGTTTAAAATTACTCAGAAATATGTTGCCTGCTAATTTTTCACTCATTACTTTTACACTCTGAACAATAGTTACAAATGTTGGTAATTCGACATTGAAAAGCTTACAGTTCATAAAGAACCCTTATTCTAAGCTTTTCAACAAAAGACTATTAAATTATCTTTGATTTATTACTTACTTTAATTTATTATTATTATTATTATTATGAAATATAATTATTATTATCCTTGATTGCAGATACGCAAAGCTTGTAGAAAATCCTGCGAGTTCCTCAGATAACGAAAGTTCAGAGAATGAAGGAGAAAAAAAAGTTAAAAAAACAAAGAAAGTCAAAGTTGAAGTACTGCTCAGCCACAAAGAAGATGAAATCCAATTAATTGTTTCTCCCTGAAGCTCATTGTGACTTAAATTTGTTTCTATTACTGCCACCAATACATAAATCAAAGACATTTATACCAATAAATTGATAAATTGATGATGTAATTAATCGTATTGCCAACCCTGCCATATAGATTATTATACTATTGATAAAATTATAAGTGATAATTTATCCTAAATAAGTATGAAAATTTGTACATAAAATATTGTTATCATGTAATAACGCGATTTAATTATAAGTTATGTTATAACTTATAATATACAAAGTAAGGCTGATATTTATTTAACAATTAAGATCAAAATGTTAAAAACTATTCCTAGATTGTAAAATTAGTGAAAGTGCTATTATGTAAGCGATCAATCGGTTGTTCTTTCTTCTTTACTCAATTACTTTACAAAAATTGAAATAATTTTAACTTCTTAATTAACGGGAAAAAAAAAAAAAAAAAAACACTTTATTAAGACTAAAGCGTAAGAATTTAATATTATTTATTTATTATGAAAAGATATTACATTAAAATTACGTTAAAGTAAATAATAAGAATTTGAAAAAGACTCATTATTATTCTTATTTTTAATATTAACAATAAAATTTATAGATATAAATATATTTATATTTATATTTTAAAATATTATTACACACTAAAAACGTGTAACTAATCATTGAAAAAAATTGCGCAAAACTTTCCATAATATTTCAATTACACATTAATATTTCATACTTCTTTGTAACATCAAAAATTTATGTATATATGTTATTAATTATTAATTATTATGAATGTTATATCACATTGTTGTAAGTTTTAATTATATTCAATCAATTAATAATTATAACTACACAATTGTTTCATTTTCTCACTCTTACATATAATTAATTGAATGATCTTCATTGAAGAAGAAATAAAACTTATCATTATTAGATTTTTTTAACTATATACATTGTCTTTTTATGAAAGATTTCAACAGGTACAATTGAGAAGTCGCCAATATTATAAGAAAATAGGAAATAAATATTTTCGAGCATGTAATTTTCTTCTTATTTTTTAAAATAATTATTTATTACATTTATTTTTTCTTATCCTGATCAACGTCCGATAATAGTTGGCTCATCGGCCATCGCAATTTCTTCAGTTGGCGCTTTATCACGTTTTCTTTTCTTAGAAAACAGTATAAAAGCACATCCGGCAAGAAGATTACCCATGCAGACGAACCACGCCAGGACTAGAGAGAAACCATAGTGCACTGATGACCCTTTTGGAAATCCCATTACTGTATTTTTGCTGCCGTACTCCATTGACGAGAGAACCACTTGAATAACAACCATCACGCAGGCGCCTTTAATATTTATGTGTGGTTTAATTAAAATTAAGTTTAATAGGATTGATATGATTATGAATTATAAATAAATTACCACTAATAAAATGTATTCCACCAGCTAATCTTTTGAACATATATCGAGGGTTTCGGAAGGTGTAAATTGAAAATGAAAATCCCATGAGCATAATTATCATACTGATTATCGCAAATGAGACTTGAGTTCTTGCGTAACCTGAAACAATGGGTAAAAAAATTAAGAATATAAATTTATAATTCTATATTATCATTTTAAGATGAGTTTGATATTGGTGATAATAAATTTGTTAAACTGCTAAAATATTCTGAAATCTTTTAAACTTTATAAAATGTTTTAAATTAAAACTTTTCTGGAATATTTTAGACAGTTTCAGAACTTTTGTAATTGATATAACTTTACAAATTTGTTTTGTTAAAATACAAACTTTAATTACATGTAATGGAGGGATTACTTACTGAGAACGGTAGCATCAAAGTCAAAATCAGACATGATATTTTCTTCGGTTGGAAACATTTCCTGACGCTTACATTCTTCTGTAAAAATTTAAATTGTTTAAAGTTAATTTTATTTTGGAAGAAATATTTTATTTTAAAAAATATTAAATAATTATGCAAACAGAAAAAACACTTAAATTTTGTAAAAGATTTTCATTAATGATTCTCAAATTTGATGTGAGAAAAAATATGGTATATCGAGATATACAACAAGCTCAGAGATTGTAAGAATGAAGTTTTAAATTAATGATTATTTAAGAGGATAACTAATTATTATGATATACATTTATTTTATAATTATCTAATTTTCTGAAAGAAGTATTAAAAAAATTTTTATAATTTTCAAAACTACAATTATTCCTATATTATTTCCTTTGAAAAAATGTATGATTCAATTTAAGCATTTTCAATATTTCTGTCGTCAATAATCGATTAATCTTAAATTTAAATTTAAATTAAGTAATATTTTCATTTTTTGAGAATATAAAAAAATTGATTATTACGCTTCAATCAAATTTTGATATTTTGCATTTTTAACAGAGGTTGGTAAAAAAAAAATTTTTTGAAGATTGTTATATCAACGTCAGCTCATTTGTTTACGTATTTACACTCATTTTTGTCATTTAGTTTTTTTAAAAACTAATCTAATACGACCATCTTTTTTGTGCAACCCTCAAAGTAATTTTAAAGTTGTGCAAAAAATAAAAAAAATAAAATATGTATTAAAATTTTTCAAAAATTGTTTAGAACAGGAAATTTTACTTCAAACTAATGGAAAAAAAAATAATTTGAAATGATCAGAAATAACGAATTTTAGATTTTAAATATGATCGCTAATTTGAACAACATTAAATAAAAAAAATGCATCGAATAAATAATTTCTAATTGATTGATCAACATAAAAATTTATTTAATTAGTTAAGATTCCAATACATGATCAAATCGATAAAATTTACTAAACTGAAAAAAAAAAAGATTTATCGAATAAACACGCGAGTAAATTGACTATAAAATTCTATTTTATAGTCAATATCGCTCCCATATATCGTGTACATATTTGTTCCACACGAATTCTCCAATTCATTAAAAATATGAAAAAGTACTAATAGTGTTAGAAAATAAAATAATAAACTAACTCACGATAAAATTTTAACTCCTCGGTATTATTCTGTTGAACTGGCTCGTAACCTGAAATACAGTCTCTCCAAAGTCCTTGATTCCTGTAAACTAATGTTCTGCCATTTTTGTCAGTATTCCTGAGGAGTAAGCCCTTTGGCTGACTAATGGGTGACTCAACCGAGTACCAGTGATCCGTACAAATAGCGACAGCCCAGACACACGCTGCTAATCCGATGAGAATAGTACACCCCAAGAGAACTCTCCTCTCGAATATCACCTATAGAACATTGTCACGTACAATATACACAATACAAATACAGTCACTCTTACAAAAAATATCCTTGTTAACTAATAGACAAACATATACAAAAATAATTATACATTTTGTATTTATTTTCACCGAAAAATTATGTTTTGTAAAAATGAGCAATTTTTTTTTTTTTAGTGAATTGTCTAATTACATTTCACAAAATCCATCATTTATGCGAAAATACATCAGTGTATTTTAAAATTAAAATTTTATTTTTAACTAAAAATAAATTCAACATGTGTTATATGTACAATATTTTTGTTTAGGTTTACCAAATAATATGTATTCAAACTGTTATTATCGGAAAATTTCAAAGAACCACCTTCTCAAAAAAGTGGAGGTGGACGATTTACTAATCAGAACGTCGATATGTCATTTATATTCATTATTCACCGAGAGAAAAAATTTCTTTTGAAAAAAATCGGCAATGTTGTAAGAAGAAATTAATTTATTTAAAATTTTTGTTGAAAAATAGTTTTCTAGATTCAAAAAAAACAATTTTAGATGTACAACTTGCAAATTTTTAACAAATTAATTTCCTGTCACAACAATGTCTATTTTTTCAAAAAAAATTTTTTTAAAAGAAATTTTTTCTCTCAATGTATATGGACATCATATTTATCTTATAATGACTAGATATATATTAAATAAATGCAAAAAAAAATTTTACAATTTTTTAAAATATCGGTATAAGATAAATTGCTTATCTAAATTGTTAAGTTCCCATTTTAAGTCGACTTTCTACAGGAAAAAAAATTTTGTTTTCAATGTATGAACCGATATGTTTACTGTATATAAAATAAAAATCATATTTATGTAAGTATGATGCATATAAATGACTGTAAAAAAGTGTTCATATTTGAAACATATATTGATCAAGAAATTCATTTAATGTAAAATAAATATCTTTTTAATTAGGATAAAAGTTTTAAAGAATATGATTTTCTTGATTACACATTGTTTCCCTTAAATCAAGTTAATTTTTCGATCAGGGTATGTTTGCAGCAATAATAAATATGAAATAAACATATGTGAAGATATATATTTTTTTATGTTTGCTTATTTGTTAACATACATATTTATTCCGCAGGGACAAATATACGTGCAAGCAAATATTGGTACTTGAATATTACATGAATTCATGAAGCAATAAAAGTACTACATTCGTTCAATATCTTTCATAAATGTAAGACTCTAGTAAGTGTTATATGTTATATGTTATATATGTTATATAGGTACATCAATAAGCTGCGCATCTTGAACTTGATTGATGCTAAAATATTCTAGTAAAGTTTCAGTATCGATAAGAATACTAAAGTAGCATATGCAGAAAAATTTACATTGTCAATACACTGAAGCTTGCACACTTGCATAAGCTCCGGAGATAAGTCACGAGTGATAAAAGTGCTCAAGGGAAATCGAATCACACAACAGGGAACACTGAAGTGTTATAAGAGTAAAGAAAGTAAGAGGGTAAGAGAGTAAGAGGTCGCTCACCTGGTTGTACAAAGCTTTCATACGACTTGCCATTCTTCCTTTTGCATCAAAGTCAATAAACTACCTTGTGGTGTTTTTTCAACTTTTTTTTGTCAAGACAAATTAATTAAATAAAATACTGCTTTATTCTCTCACTACATCCGAATTATATTACAAATTGTTACACGGAAGTTATGACGTTTCAATACACTTAACTTGGCGGTTATCCACTTTTATTCGAATCATTTATGATGACTTGTGTTGTTGATAATACTAGATGTAATTAATCATACACGTCTAGAGTTAAGTCATTACCAGTACATTATTTAATTTTAAATCAAAATAATGATTAAAAAGTTATATTTTTTGTTATAATTTATAATTATTGATACTTTGATATGATAATTATGTCTTACGTCTGTTATGTGGACTTTTTTAAAAATATATGTACAAGTAAAATTACATTTTTACTGTTTTTAATACTTATTTATAATTTTAAAAGTTTTAAAAATATTGTTTAAAAAATGTGTGACAGTTGAATCGTTGTCTCGTTAAGTTATAAAAGTAAAACTAGTTTTTCTTTGATCTTGTCTCGTTGGACTAAAATAAATTTAAACGGTGTACTATCAATGTGTTGACATTTACACGATCTACAATACTAACGCGTAACTGTATAGTGACTGTGGGCTTCATTCCATCGCACATTTAGAAAAATCTGAAACAAAGAACAACAACAACAATTAAATGCAATTAATAATTTTTTATTTGCTTGATACAGTTTAAAAATTAATTATTACTTTACTAATTAAGTAATATTTTGGTAATTGTTTGGAAGTCAGATCCACAATATTTCAACTTATAAAAATAATATTTAGGATTTTTTTTTAACAATCCCCTTTTTTTTCTCAAGGTTCTTAAAATATGAAATAATTCAAAAAAAAATTTTTTAATATCAATTTTTCATAAAAAAAATTTTTTTGAAAAAAATAAAAAAACTAGCATTTTTGATATTTATTTCAATTGTTTGATTTACTTACATAGAATAGGAAAAAGTGAACCAGAAATCATTAATTCAAATAATTTCCACCACAAAACATTTTAATTAAATAAATAGAAATGTTTTTCTCGAACTTACATGATTTATAAATGTTAGCAAGAACTTGTGAAACAAAGTGTCAAATTACGTCAGTAATACGATAGTGAAATGAAAACCGGATGTAAAATGTCAAAACAAAGTTTGAATAACAAAAAATAAAAAAACAAAGTACATTATTCACATGAATCACGGGGAAAATTCGTCTAATTCTTCAGCATGTTCTTTGTTGGATTGATTTAATTAACTGGCTGAGCCAATTATTTACTACACCATTCTGGCTGTACACCAAACAACTGACGAGTTACAAACGTAGCTCGCTTTTTTAATACCACATTATTGTCTTTGTCCTCACCCTAATTTATATATCAACTTGTTCATTGTTTCGTCCGTCTATTATGTTTACTTGATAATATATTTGGACAAATAAATCAGATTGAAATAATTTCTGGGATTTGTACTGGGAATAAAATCTTTAGCACTATGAATGTAAAATGTATAATGGGATGGCATAGCTCATTGAATTATTCCTCGTAATCGGATTGAATCTGCTACTATTGAAAATTCTGGGGACTATAAGCCCCGGCTTGCAACTGTGCCAGAGTTGGGCATTTTTGATCTGTTTTACTTAAACAATTGCCAGAATTTATAATTTCTGAGGGGTGACGGGCCATTTGAGTTCAACAATAAATTTACTGTCTTCTCTCTGATTTATTATTTCGTTAATTAATAATAGCAAGAAAAAACCGGGAAATATTTTAATACGGGTTTTAATTGCTACTTTCATTAACATCTTTATTTAATAACAGAAAGTAGTTTAAATTAATGCACATCAATTTTTTGCTTTTATATTTTCTTTATACTCTTAATTAATATTATTCAAAAAATTTGCATTTATTTTTTTTTTTTCCTATGAATATGTATTTGATTAAATCTTTTTTTGGGTAATTTATTTTTTTTATTTAATAATGAATGAAAAAAATCTATATGACATAAAAAAAATTTATTTGATGTTTAAAATTAAGTACAAAACATTTTAAAACTGTTTTTAAAGAATAGAGAAAATATCCATAATGACTTTTTTATTTTAAATAAAAAAGTTGAGAATTTAATAAGAATGTTAATATTTATCAGAATCCTGTTGAAATTTATATTAATTACAATATATTTATAAAACAAACTGGTACTAACTAGAAAATTTATTTCTTTGTAATATTGTAGATAATTATTAAAAGGTAAAATCAAGCTTGCTTTGGTAACTTCCACATACTTTTAAAGAAGATAATTTAAATTATTCCATTAAGAAAATGTTAATTATTATTAAATTTTAATTTCAATAATAAATTATAAAGTTTTAAAACGTGCTCATAATTAATTAAATTCTAAAACTCTTACTTAAAATTGTGACTATTTATATTTTCATTGATAGTGCCAACAATGTGAAACTGTAATTTTTTAAGAACTAGTTTCCACGTAAGAAAATCGGAAATGTAAAAACTCAGGAAGTTGTAATCTTCAGCCTGATCTTTGATGATTAAGTTTTAATAAATTTCGACATTCGATGGTTCTGAGAAATTTAAAAGTAATTTAAAATTTCTTGAAAATTTTATTTTTACTAAAATTAGTTGTACCGTTCGAGAGTTAATGGCGGAAGAACGGTTTTTCTAAATTATTTTTAATTTAATTCCAGTATTTTTATCTTTCAATTTTTCCCAACAAAGTCAAACACGTATTCAAAGATTTTTCTTATTGATTGTTTTAATTAATTAATGTATTTTTTACTAGAGTAGCCTTGAAAGTTTTTTTTTTTACACTTCAGTAATTACCACACAATTTATCATTTTTCTATAAAACTTAGAGGGGCATACATTTAAGCACCTTTAGTCACGTTTTGTACATTATTAGATCAACTGAAAAAAAAAAAGTAAAATATACATTTACTCATAATACAAAAGTTTTAAATACACTCTCTGGTATTTCGATGATAGAAAAAGAAATTTTAGTCTAAAGAAACTCAGTTAGAAGTGAGGAAGATTAATTTTACTTTTTACTAAAATTGATGATAATTGATTATGACATCAAAAGATATAAAACTTATACTGAGTCGAAGAAGTGAAAAACAAACCAATCCTAAAAGTGTTTGTCGACAGACGTACTAAAAACCAAGTGAAGCGTATTTCATCAGTCTTAATGTCATTTTACTGAATATAGTTCAATTACTTTATTGAAAAGTTATAGAACCACGAAAAGATACAAGTAGAATTTTTCTTTACTTTAAAGATTTAAAATTGCCACCATTTCTCAGTTACTCAATCGATTTCGCTCATCTTAAAACTTCATCTAAGAGTAATTACATTAAAAAAGCGACCGAACTTTCATTGCGATTTAATTAGACTAATGAATACGATGATAATACTTTTGAATTTGACTAAAAAAATTGTTTTATCAAAATTATACATTAAATTTCAGTTGAAAGCTTATAAAGTGCAAATTTTAATAATCTTGAGAGGCTATCAAGCAGGAAGTATGAATAGCTGGAGGTATTCTAAACTTTTTAATATATCACGTAAAGAGTTTGGAACCTTATGTATACTGTATAGTATAAGGATAAAAAAGAAACAAAAAGAATAAAGAGAAAAAAGCCTTTTCAATGGAAATTTATAGATAAAGTGAGAGAAAATCCGGCCAGTGAAAACGGAGACTCGAACCTAGGTCCTCCGATTACACGTCGAGAATTCTGTCCGGTAAAGCTTCCCTCCCTGTAATCTAACGAGATTTTTTTCTACTTTTATTTATATACATTAAACTACACTGTCCGACCTACCATAAACTATTTTGACATTTAAATGCTGTAGTAAGGGAGTCAATAAAAAATTCAACCTACCATGTTTATAAAAAATAATAAATCTTTTATTTATTTTTAGTAGAACTAATAAAAACTATCTTAATTTTAGAACATTTTGAGTTTTCAAAGCAGAAAGTTGAAATTTACCCAACAAAATGTTTACTGAAATTCGAATAAATAAATTTTAGTTTATTGATAATAATCTTTGGTAATGACAAAGTATAAATAGTTAAGAGAGCCATCCGTATCGTTATATTGGCAATAGAGTATTGCTGCAACAGCTATTTGAATGATAATAAAAACAATACTTTCCTGCCAGACTGAAAGTAGTTATTAATAAAACAACCCAGTGCTAATTTAACGATGATATATTCTATTGTAGTCACAATTCACTCTTATATTATTCAGACAGGGGAACACTAAAAAATTATTGATGTATATGATTATCTAAATATTTACTGGATTATTTTAATGGGTAAATTGGCGTTAAGAGATTTTCTTCAGAGAGTATTTTTAATAAAATGAATGTATTATTCATTTTAATAATTCATTATTATTTCAATAAAATCAATTAAAACAAAAAAAGAAAAATATTCATATGTAGAAAACTTTAGAAATAATGTTTCCATTATTTTTATTTGCCATAAGCAATTTGTTTTATAAATTATGAAAATTTTTCAATTACTGTTGAATTCAATAATAAAAAAAAAATTTTTTTTACGAAATTTTTCTTTTGAAATTATTCTAAAGTAAACTTTAAAGAAAGAATCATATAATTTTTCAACGAAAATTCAATCATATATATTGATTTTTCTATTTTTGAGGCCAAAATTGGAAAGTGAAGTCGTAATTATAAAAAATTACCGGAAATTTTTACCCTGACTAATACACACCACACTGAAATTCATTTTTTCAGTATTACCCCATCATTAAAAATCTTCCAGCCTGCTTAACCATTGAAAAAACCAAAAAATTTTAATTAGACAATACTGCTTAATAATCCTCAACAAGACAGCTCGTTGACAGTCTAATAATTAGTCCGAGCAGGTTAAAAGAAACTTATTTATAAATAGTTTAAAAATAAATCACTTCAACAATTTAATACCGACATACTTA